GAACAAAGCTCACAGCATTAGCTGCTCAAAGTTGTGTTTACAGAGGATCTTCTAAAGGAAAGTAATTGTTTGGAAAAGTTGTACATATGAGGGTGATGTCGTATCATGAGGCACATAAGTTTGGGTCCTCTAAGCTTTTTCCTATGCAAGAACAGGCTTTATCCAGCCAAAACAGAATGAAATTTCTCCCAAATAAAAATGAGAGGTTATTGGGCAAGTTTTGTTTAGAGTTTGAGAAGGTAGATGGGTGCCAAGCAGCATACTGGGAATGGCATTTCTGAAGTTGGAGTAGGAAAAGCAAAGTCTTCAGGTAAAAGGAAGTAGTTATAAATTATATTGAAAAGATGAAGCACAAGAAGTCCCAAGGTACAGTGACACATTTTCCCTCTTAACGTAGTTATGCTGGAAGGAATACAGGTGCAAACCCAAGAGATTTTACAAGGAATACGGGATGAGTCATAAAAGAAATGGTGCCTGGAACTGACAATTGCACCCAGCACAAAGCATTATGGCACCAAGTGAAAATTCTGTGCACAGACACAAGAGCTGTAACACTTCCGAGCTTACTGGCTCCAGGTATAGGAAAGCTAATATTAGGAAAAAAAGCCTGTCAAGGAAATGGGCATGTGACATGAGCTTGGAGAGCACGTGGAAGACCCACCAGTGAGTTATCTTTCAGAGATTGTATCTCATGGATGGGATAAAGGTCTTGTCAGCAGCAAATGAGGGACTGGGAACCAGCCTTATGTTGTGCTGCCTGGAGCAGCACGGTCCAGGCTTTTAATAGCCTGTGATGTAGCTTAAGGCCAGTCTAGATGCCCCTGCTTTCCTTAAAGCTGTCTTAAGTTTGTGATACAATTAAGTATCACAATTTCCACTTTTATATGCAATCAAAAACATTTTCAGAGTCCTGCAGCAGAAGTGGTGTGTTCAGGACTGAACAGACTGCTTTGCTAGCTGCATCCAAAAAAGCAAAATTATACCAAGGTAAATAGGTCAGTTCACAGGAGGAGTGTTGCACAGTAGAACAGAAAGTGAAATGTAAAACAAAGCAAAAACAAAATAGTTATTTTGGTGACAGGGCTGCAGGTGACCTTATTGGCTTTAGTGCAAGTGAAGGTTCATGTTAATAAGGCCTTCCTCTTCCCCTTTGAAACTACTTAATGAGATTGAAATTTCTAGACTTTCTTCCTGCAGTGGTGAAATTACTTTAATTGAGAAAGTGCCATTTTAAACCCTGTAGGCAGGAGAGAGAAAGCATTTGTTGCAGTTCTCTTTCCCTAAGGACCCTTTACATAAAATGAAGAATCTAGACACTTACCTCAGTGCATACCAAAAAAAACAGAGAAAGAATAAGCAAGAAAAGCACAGCTGTGCTCTTTTCAAAACCATCTCACTTTTAATTTTTTACATGCAGATTTGAATACCTCTTTAATTTCGATAACACTTTCGAGATTCATGATGACAGTGAGGTGCTGAAGAGAATGGGAATGTCCTTTGGGCTCGAAGCAGGCAAGTGCTCAGCTGAGGACCTAAGAACTGCAAAATCACTGGTGCCAAAAGCTTTAGAAGGCTATATCACAGGTAAGTTAGATGGGACTTTGAAATGTTGTTCTGGATCAAATCCATAACCTTGGTTAACTGAAGCAAATTTAATTATATTAACCTAAGTTTTATGGGACCTAGCAGGGTTGGTATATGAACCAGTTGTTTTGCTGTTAATTCTGGAAGCTATATCATAGTTGTCCTGTAAATTTAATTCACACTGATTTATAACAACGAACTTCTAACCGAGCTACATTATGAAGAAAATATTTCTTAAATAACTAAATTGATACCAAGAACAGATTTTCATGCATTGGTATTAATTTTGAGTAACTGGATGTATGGAGGAGCAAACTGGAAGAAGGCAGCTCCTCCCAAGCTGAGGAAAAGGAGAAAAAAAAGAGCATCTTGAACGAGTTGAGTGTAATCCCTCAGGTGCCAGCAGATGCCATCTGAGAACTGAGCTCTAAATAAATCAAGAGGCTCCGAAGGCTTTGGAACAGGAGTCCCATGCAGAGGCTTTTACCTCCCCTGTTAGAACTGGTCATGCTTAAACAGACTCAAACCTAGAACTCACTCAGTGTTGCATCACTGGACTAGAGCTGCTAAAATTTGTCATCACTTCCTTTAGTTATTGTCAGAGTGTGTTCTTCTTGCTCTACCCACAGCTTGAACTTAGCCCAACATTTTCTCAGGTTTCTGGAGGGACTTTATCTGTAAAGGAAGTGTTACCCAATGAATTCCTGTGTACAGACCTTGGTTTGTGAGCAAAGGGAGCAAAGCTATTGCCCTGACTTCTCTGGTCTTGTTTAAATTGCAGTAGTATAAAACTGTGTCTTTCACAGGAAGGTTGGAAACTTCAAACATTTCACTTAATTTTTTTAAAACTTTCCTAAAATTGATTTCCTCCAGTTGGCAATATTTAATCTTCATGTCAGGATCTTTAAAATGCAGGCTTTATATTAAAAAAGAAAAGGCCATTTTGTTTGCTAAGAGAAATATAGTTAAGTGGTCAGGAAGTTGAACACATGTTTTTGTATTCTTGATTTAACTGTGTGAAAGAATTAAAAATGAAACAATTCCTTAAAATTTGTGATGTCAAAACACTGGTGGATATAACTTAAATTCACTTACATTCAGTAAAATTAGTACACTTTAAATAGCTTAACATTTCAAACTACATCAAACATGCTTACGTTTATCAACACTTGTTTGTGTTTTCCTCTTGTCCTGTGCATTTTAAAACTAAGATTTCATATTTTATTTTTGGTCAATTTTGAAATTACACTCCAAGTCTTTATAAGACACCACTGGTACCAAAAAGAGAAGTTGAAAGAAATCTTGATTTGTTCCTTGCAGATTCTTTCAACTAAAAATTATTTACCATCAGCAACGTAAGAGAGGGGAAAGGAGTAGAACCCACATCTTTTTAATAGTGTTGCAATGCTTAAGTTACTTAATTGCTCCCATGTGTCCAGGATCAAACTAAAATTTCTTTTTAATTTTAAGCCTGCCTTAATTTACCTTCAGAGAACAGGAGTTTTTTACATTTGCACAAACCCCTGTGTCATTACACTATTTACTGAGTATTTCCCTGGTAGCAGACCAGCAGCCAGGAACCCACAGAGCCTTTAATTCACAGGAAATGCATTGGTTTTATTTTTCACTCAAATTGCATTGAGGCAGTGGGTCACATCCAGACCTGGGTTACATTCAGCTGTTTCGGCCTCTGAAAAAATGAGCCCAGAGGTGCTGCTACCACCACATGGACATTTATTTTAAAGGCTTCTTCTATCTGTTGTTTGCCACTAAATTACACAACACTAATCTACAGTTAAGATATGAATTGCACAGTAGTGGTTTCTAATGGCAGTAAGTGACAAATAAGGGAAACAGACTGAAATGTTTTGCACAGTACCTGAAAATCCAGCATTTGCTTGCTTATTTATTTTTGGTTAAGTGTAACTTTCCATTTTAACCTTGGGAGTCTTTAAACATTGTTTCTTACACTGCAGGAGTAGTGAAATAAAAGGGTCCTCACTGGTTTCTAGAATCCATGGTTACTTCTACAGCTGTCATGATGGCCCTTTTAACTACATTGGCTTCAGTTACTACTATACAGGAAAAACAAATCAAGGTCTCCTATTTATTCCCTAAGTAAATTTATTGTGATCAAGATTTATTACAATCACAGTAGTTACTCCATGAACTCAACTGCTGTAGAAGCCAGTCCTATTCTAATATGTCTAAGTAGGTAAGTAATTTCCTGTGCAATGGTAGTTTGACCTTTGCCTGGTCATTTTTTCAGATAATTCCTGACTTCCAGATAATTCCTGTACTGTGATGCTTGCCAGTAGAACTTGAGGAGCAGTTGGAAGAATCCAAGTCTAAACCAGTTAGATTAAAGAAACTTAAAATAGACAAAAAACCTTGGACCATCTCAGCTTTGAAAAGAAAGAACTTTCTATTTGCATTAAACAGCTAAATAAATTGCTTGGAATTGCTGAACTGATGATGTGTGCATCAAAACCTTATTAGTGTATTTTCTTTTCAGAAGGATCATGTATTTTAGCCATTCTTCAAGTGCCCAAATTTTAAAAGTAGTGTCTTCTAGGTTTGCTATCAGTTTCATGATGTCTTAGCAAAAAAAGTGTTGCACTTTTGTAATATGCATTTTAAGTACTACATTGGTGTGATCCCCAGGTATGACTGCCATTGAAACCACCCAAAGCTAAGGCATATTAACATCACAGAGTAATATATTCTGTATATCTTAAATTTGTTTGTTACATGCTTTTCTGTTGCTTGACTGTCCTAACTGACAATGTCTAAAACAGGATACTTGCACCAGTTTAAGATGCATTCCAGGGGCCCAGTCCTAGTTACAAATTCCTGCCCATTTCATTTTGAGCCAGGTACTTTCCTGTGTGCTCTTCCTGAGCTGGTTCCGGGTACTAAACTACAGGCTTTTTGTCTGGCAGAGGAGTTTCTGACAATTAAACCAGTAGAACTTTCTAGCCAAGGGCTCAAACCAGAACAGCTCAAGTGTGAAGGAGGGAGTGAGATTGCTGCATGAGCAGAAATACACCACTGAGACAAGCATGAACTCGTAGAACCATATCCAGAGTAACATCCTGTGCCTTTTGAGCCATGCACATACTACAGGCAGTTAATGCAAAACCAAGTCCTGCCTTTGTTAGTTGAGTCCTGACTCCTAGAAATGAGACTACAGATAAAAAAAAGCAAGCAATAAAAGTTCTGAGGCACTAACAGTTGGAGTAACAGCATCCCACTTTGTGGATCCCACTAAGGCAGTGGGCAGAGAAAGTGGTGCAGTTTAGGACCTCGAGATTACACCACTTCTTTTTTCTTCCCTGCATGAAGAAGTGCTCTGCCACTTACCTGTATAATAAGCCTTGACTGGAAGACAGGCTGGAGTTGGAACTACAGAGCCAAGAGTAATTGATCTACTCTGCTAGAAATGAGTCTTTCATTGTAGGCAGATTTCTATTTTGACAGACTTTTCTATACTGGAAATGGCTTCAAATCCCTGTCTTTCACAAACTTCCTTTTTTCCCTGGCTCCCCAGAGCCCACTGAAAAATAGAATTTAGAAATGTGAGGCAATGAAAATACAAGGCAGGGATATGCATCTATGAACCACCTTTCTGCCTTGTGCAAAAGCCACACTTTCTTTTACCTTGCTCTTATCCAAAACTGTTAATAAACCACAAGATTACTAGCAGTGTCTTGTTATTCTTCTGGAATATTAAGCATGTACACACAGGTACACTCCTTCATAATACCAGGAAACACTGTGATACATCTCTGTTAATCTAAATACAATGCAGTCATTCCAAATGGCTTAGCCTCCTCCTGCAAAGATAGGGGGAAGCTGTCAGAACATGTTCTCTGTAACATCAAACCTACATTTAGGGCAATCTTAGTGAAAGCCATCCAGCTATGTCCACATTTAACTATCCTCATCTATTCTGTCCTCCATAGATCACCCTAAAACTGCCACTTATTAATGTTTGCTGTCACATTCCAAGGGCTGCTGGCAGGGACACCACTCTTGCTAGCCTTGCTTTGTGACATGTCATTAATACCCAGCTGCTAACAGGTTTCCACAGCACAAGGTAGCTTGTGGATCCATCCCAGTACATGGTGAGCCAGTTTTACAGGGCTGTGTCTGCCTGTCCTAGGCAGCACACTGCCAAATCCCAAGGAACCAAAGCCTAACAAGAATGTAGAAGGACAAATGAGAACGTGTAGGTAACAAACACATTTAATTATTCCTCTTACCTGCTCTTAGAGAACAATTCCAGATAAATATGAGCAGTACAATCCCACTGTGCTGTAAAGAACAGATGTTTCCTTAGGAATAGAATTAATAGTAAGGACTCTGACTCCTGGTTAATATCCAGCTGGAACCACATGCAAGCCCATGGAAAAGAACTAGACAGTCTTGGTAACTGTTTTGATGTTAACTCTGTGTTAAGATGGAATTCGGGCAGGTCAATAGAAATACCTTATCTAAGAAACAAATTAAAAACAACCTCCCCCCCAGAAAATCCCACAAGTGTAATTGGGTCAATGGACTTGTTTTGCTGATTCTCTTGGCAGAAATGTGCGTAATTGGAAACAACTGACAGGCATTACTTGTTAGGGAATTTGAAAACAAGTGCTGTGAGGGTTGTAAGTTACCTGTTCAGGGCCCTCAGGGGGCTTTTAACAAATTACCTGAAGAAATTCAGCATTATTGCAAGACCATTTTAATGGTCTTAACCCTAACACTTCCTATCCCCAGAGAGGAGACAGCCTTACATGTCACACATACAATGTACAACAGGCTTTCTCTTCCCTACTTTTGGCACAAGACCTTTGCCATGGTCTGTGCTTTCCACAGCCAGCTCTGTCTGTGGCAGATGGATCAGGATTAGGTAACATTTCTGCACCACAGCCAGCCAGGAGAGCACCAGGATGAAACTGCCTTTGGCCCCAGAACACACACAGCCAACACAGAGCCCACCTGGGCGACTGCAGCACCTCAGCCCAATAAATACAGTTGCAGTTGAACTTCACCAAGCAGAGCAGGAGCTGTTGGGGCATTTCATAGGGTTGGTCTGTAGCAGAAAGTCCCCATGAAGGACTGCAGAACTCCTGTTTCAGTACCTGCGACTCCATATGGCTGCCAGCCAGTGAATCCTCTTCAGACAGGGGGAAAAGCTTCAGAGAAATAGGCATAACTGTGAGGGGGGAACAATGCAAGGCTTGAGTTCATCCACAAACACAGGGGTTAAGTTCATCTTGATTAACTAGGACACATCTACAGTATAAAACCAACTTGAGCTACTGGTACCTTCTAAACTAAACTATGGAATCCTAACTGCAAAGTTTAAGATTGTAAAAGGAAGAAAAAAATTTAAGTAGCTATTATAAACACAGTTATGCTTTCTTGTAGATATGTCTGCAGGATTTTCATGGATAAATCAAGGGTTACTTTCAAGTTCAGCACAAGTAGTTTCACACTTAGAGGCATCTGGAGGCACTTGCAATGCTAAATCAAGGTAAATGAAATAATTTTTTATTCAAGGGTAGTTATATATGCTTGTGGTACTTTCAATAACCTCCTGTTTCATACCACTTTCATGAATGGAGATGTTTTCTTATTATGGTTGATTTTGATTGTGAAAAAGTCTCTGTCTTCCTTGATAATTATATTTGAAAGGTCAAATCAACATGCTTTGAATTTTGAACATACCAGCTATGTTTCTTAAGAATAGAATCACTTTGAGCCCTTTTTCTTGATTAACCTTAAATTCCTGCCTGGGCATGGCCTACAAATAGGTAATTACATGTGGATATAAGGCTGGTAATATTTCTGCAGAATGCAAAAGAATGTTTGGTGTCTAAATGCACTACTGCTTAAGCTCTCACGAAACAAGTTTAATCCACAAAGTCTATTAATAATTTAAAATTAAAAACAAACAACCAAACAAAAAAAAACCACTACCAGTAAAAACCCAATCCAAAATACATCTCAACAGCCATACTTTGCTTGGAGGTTACCTGTACCATAAAAAATGGAAATAAGGATTATTCTGGAACAGGTTCTTCATTACAGCATTAATAGCTTCATTTCACATTGCATTTTGTGCATTGACTAAACTGATGGGTTTCTTCTTAATATTTCTTCAGCTTGAGCAATTCTCCTAGTTGTTTATGGAAAAAAAAAAGTGACTCAATAATCTTTTCTATGCAACTTTGCAGTGGTTTATCAGTTTTCACTGTATCACTTCTGGATTTTTCCTTGTTGGCAGCATTTCTTTGACTAAAGGAAAAGCTGAGGCCAAGAAAAAGGCTTAAAACCTCATGAGAAACCCTCTAAACTTGACCATTTCTGTTGTTTTGATAGTGAGAATGCAGGGTTGTGTCTGGATGCTGAAGTGGCCTTAGCAACTGGGCAGCTCATTGCCCTGAGCAGTCAGCAGTCCAGCAGCGCAGCGTCCCGGGGGGAAACGCCCTGCTCCTTCAACGATGAAGATGAAGAGGATGAAGATGAGGATTCTTCCTCCCCAGAATGAGGAGAGTAGAAAATGGAACATACAAAATGCTGCTCAAATATTCTTAATGGGAGTTCCTGTTTGGATTTTACTGGTTTCTTGCCTTGTTTTGCACTGTGTTCAGTGAAGCAAAATGGACGCTTCAAAATCAACTTATTCATAACTGAAAAACTTTTTGTAACTGAACACAGAGTGACATGTAGAGACAGAGCAAAATGGGTTTTATCAGCTAAAACCGAGGAAAAGAACAAAGTTCTCAGAGATTTGGCAAAGCAAACCCCAAGTTTACCTTTTCCATTTTGGGACTTAAGTCTCTGTCTTCCCCTTGTCTTTACCAGATGGAGAAGAAAACGGAGTCAGTCAGCAAATGCCAGTTCTTGCATTGTCTTTTGGCTGTGCTGCTTTAGAAAAAGGGGGAGGAAGAGCACATGCAAATGCGCTAAAAAAGCTATTTAAAACTATCTTATATGAAAATGGTTATAGGGAAAAGGGGCTGCTAAAATGTTTGCTTTTTTTCTGTTCAACTTGCTGTATAGAAGATTCTTAAAGTAATACAAATTGCAAGTGATTAAATGGATCTTGAAATAGTTTAAATCCATTTTAGATACTCTAAAAGTAACAGTATAAAAGGTTCGTATGTTCATTTATACTGCAGACCTAATTTATTATAAATAAGTGAATATTCTTAGCCATTATTAAAACAGTCAGGAAAAATCCAGTATTCTCTGCACCAGCTTTTTTAAGGAAAACAAGTAAAAAAAAAATTGTATTTCTAGATTACAATGTATCCAGTGTAGCTTCTTCTTTACTGTTCTAACTTTATATAATCCCTTTGATGTTAGAGCATGTGTTGGATTTTTTTCAAAAAAGCCTCCCACCATGTTAAGGCTCTCAGGCAGCGTGTTTTCAAGGCAGTGCTTTCAAATGTGGGCTGGGTAGGTCACATAACTTTTTTTAAAGTCATAGGATGAGGTTCTTAGGAAAAAAATAAAATTTCAACAATATGTCATTTCATGTTTTGCATTCCAGTCAGCTTGGATTATGTATGACAGAAGAACTGTCTTATCATTAACTTCTGTTGCACTCACCTTGATGCGCCTTTGAAAATTGTATCAAACCACTTCAAATAATCTGTGGCTCAAGTTACACAACACGAATCCCATCTGAACTGTTGAATAAGACTTGCAGCAGGAGGCTGTGTGTTCCATAGCTAACATCACATCCAATCATAAAGGCCTTTTTTAAAAAAAAAAACCACTTCAATATCAGTGCACAATACACTGCAGATGTACTCTTCTCGTGGTGTTCTAACATCCAGGCTTTTAACTAGTCTAGAAGTTAACTATTTTTAATTAGGTAAATGCAGTTTAAAATAGTGTTACTTCTTTCCAGTTTTTATACTGTGTGTAATAGTTGTCTCAGCAATGTTCCTATGTTGGGAGAGGAGGCAGCTCATCCCTCTGTTCCTGCCTGAGCACTGACAGCAGTTGTGTCCCTGAGGGCTCTGAGCGGGACTCTCCCGGCAGGGGCCGTGCCCACTCACCTCTTACAGCCAGACCTGCACTCAGGCCAAAAGCACCAAGCCTGAGCTGCACAGAGAAAATGAGGCTCCAGCTCCTGAGCTGCCTGGCTGTGACCAGGAGGCAGCACAGGACCAGCTGCACCCAGGACAGGCAAAACTGCGAGGAGCAGACAAGCACATCTGCATGTTTACATTAAAAACTAAAGCATCCAGAAACTTTTCACAGATAGTTCAAACTCCTGCACTTGAGGTACAGTTAGGGCAGCACCAGTATGTAAGTACAGCTCTTGGCTGAGCAAGTAGAGCTCTCTAGCTTACACAGCTCAGTTACAAATGCACAAATTAAAAGAATTCCTGTATGCCTACCATGTTATTCATCCTCTGGGCAAGACTGTTAAGACTATCCTGTGCTCATGGCTCACAGGCAAGAGCAGACTGAGGGCTTTACACCACCTCACTTTGACCAAATCTGTAGCACTACCTCTATACCAAGAAAAGCTTTACAAACACAAAGTAATATTCTTGCTGAGAGTCAATGCACCTGAGCTAAGCAGCTCACTTTGGAAATAGGGGGAGGAGAGAACAGGTACTCCAGGCATGTTATTATGGAATTTGCAGCTTCATGAATGACATCTCATTTAAACAGATAATCACTTTTATTCTTATAAACCCATTGCTTTTTCAAAAACTGCACTGTCAGTCAGCTTTCATTGGAGAGGGCAGATCAAAGATACCTTTATGCAGGATCCTAAGGAACTCTTAACGAGAAACATCTTCTAAATAATTATCCCTCAGCAATACATTAGGGGCACATTTAACTTTACACTTTATTCACACTTCCCACTCAAGATCTGTGTAAAAACTAAAAACAACAAAACACTAAACAGGTCCTAAAGAGCAGCACTTTGAACTATAAGAACCAGGGAAAAAAAGGCTTCCTGCCCAGAAATGGAATGTATTTTATTAGCAGTCAGTGTGCTTTCTGCTTTACGGGAGGAAGATCTTAAATGATACCTTTCTTCCATTGATGTCTGTGCCCTTCAAAGCAGCAGACTGCACAGCTACTTCCTTTCTGGCAAACCTCAAGCTATCAAAGATAAAATATAAAAAAATCTAGGAGCGCATAACATTCATTTAGACAGTTGAATCAAATCTTTAAAAGTTATTTTTCCTGGACTAGCTGAATACAAAGGACAAAACAAGTTACAACATTTAGAAGAGACTTCAAAAGTAAATTCTTTCCTTGGGCTTCCTTGTGCCAAGTTCCAGTAGAGGATGAAGTTCAACTAAAGCACTGTGGTCTTGTGGCTACACTGAAGTCTGGGAACTAGGAGAATTTTGGGCCTTATCCAGCCATAGTCACTCATGTATGATCTCAGACAAGCCTTTCAATCATTCCTGTTCATCTTAGCTGACATATTTTAAAAAGAAACAAAACACACACACAAAACCTACAAACCAACATAGGTAAATGCAAGACCTCACAAAATGCAGGTGTTGTATCTGATTTGAGCGCTGAGCAATTGTGAGTAACAAGGGGGGTGAGAATATTAACTCACCATACAGCTCCCCCGCAGCTTGTGGCAGTGGTTGTGCTCAGCTGCTTCAACACACAGGCCCTCCCTCCCCTGAGAGCCAGCAGCACTTTCCAGAATAAAATGGTCATGAGCAAGACTGGTTTTCCCATTTTCTATTCAGTTACCATCATCCTCTCCCGTCTCATGCCATACCCCTGGCACTCATGGATAGGAAACAAGCAGCAACTAGTACTAGATGATATCTCTGATAAGAAAAGGTTAACATTTCAATTGTCAGGCAGCTCCTGTTTAACAGAAATGTCAGCTTTATTCCTGGACTTACTCTGTGGTGCTTGAGAAATCTAAATTTGACTTAGAAAAACTTGTCAGCTCCACTAACTAGAGGAAAAAGTATGAGAAGGAGACAGCATTTTTCTGTTATGTGGAAATCTGACATAATGTTTGTGGATTTTGGTTCTTAAAATTCTATTAAAGTCCTTCTCATTTTAACACTGGAATTATTGGCAACAATCCACCTCATCTCAGAAAGTGTGTGTATCTAAGCAAATGATACCAGTTTAACTGAAGGTATGACTTAAATGACTAATGTCATTAAAGCCAGCACAATCCACACTGGAGATGTTTCCATTTTGTTTAAGGGGTTTCAGTTTTTTAAACTACAGCTTGTAAATACCCCTAATCCTTTTGAGCAGCTGGAAATTGCTGAGTACAAGGAATTCCCACAGAAGGACTTTTGCTGATCAACGTCAGCCTGGAGTAACATTATGTAAAAAGCCCTAAGACCTTCAAGTTCATAAATGAAATGCTGCTTGAATTTAGAATTCCACAGTTAAGGTTTTAAATCTCAAATTCTCTTTCTTCTGACCACATCCACCATTTTAATTCAAGAGCATGGATAAAATTTAACTACATTTGAACTCTGGGCAATAATCCTTTTTATAATTAACTGGCCCTTTTCAGCTGAAAATAATCCAGGCAGTTGATTGAGAATAGTGAGCTAAAGATGTTTGGGGTTTGGTTTCATTTAAAACAAAGCCAGTAACCACAGGGTATGCTATAAAGAAGACAGACCAAAACAAGTTATTTTCTGCCTGATGCACCTCATTTTCATTACAAGAATCTCTCAGGGACATCAGTGTATATTAAATAGCCAGATGTAATGAAGCTGGGGAAAGACTACATGAGCTTTTTTAATTTGTGATTTACAAAATTCTAGTGTTAGCCATACTTTGAGGTGACATCCTTCTGCTTCAGCCTCCTTGGCTGACGGTGCTTCAGCCTCAGCAGTACCTCTGGCAGCATTACTGGGGAACAGGGGAAGGTTAAGGACCTGTTTATGGAGGTTTTGTTCTTTAGAATATGCTCCTTCTTGAAACCTGACCTATGTCTACAAGCAATACACCAATGAATCATTTGGAATTTGTGGCCATCACACACCTACCCGAGCATGTGAACAGCTCTAAATAGTTAATTTTCTGCTGGCAGGTGCTCACATAACCCAGTCCTGATACCATAAAACTTCCTGAAGCTCTCATTCCTTAGACTTAACAAAGTTCCCAAATCAGATTATCTTTTTCCTATTTAGCTGTTAGAATTTAGTCTGGTGAATGTTTTTAAGAGGCTGTGAGCAACTCTGCTCCCCTGGATCCAGGTATATTGCCAAGAAAATACCCACAACTAATGTTAGTCCCAGTTGTTCATTCTATCTGCTAAGGATTACCATCCTTTCAAGTCACTGTAGAGCTGCATCTACAAGAACCTGCCAGCTCCTCCAACCTGATTGCCTGAGTTGGCATCCCTGGATTCCTCACCCAGCTGGCACTGCCAGTGAGGGGAGGGAATGCTCATTAAAACAGCCCAACAGTAACAACTGCTGGGGCTGTTGATCACAGCTGTTCAGAGACTCCACACTCACTTCACACCTTTCATACTCCCACCTTGTCTGGCTACCCCAGAGAGCAGCCAAAACCAAAATGTTTTCTTTCTGCTTCCATATTTTTGACAGTACCCAAGAATCCAGCATTTAGGACATCCACATAAGCTGCAGGACCACCAAAAACCCTTGCTCAGATTTGGGCAGAAGTAACATCCGAGATCTAACCATCCAAATCCCAGGAGAAAGCCTCCTGCTTTGGAACAATATGGAACAGATAAATACATCTTCATTTATCTAAGAAGAAAAGCAGACTAACCTGGTTCAGGGCCATAATTCCTAGCAGATACTGGAACCTCCCAGTAGCCCAAACTTGCACCTCTTCTTAGTATTCTGTATTGGCTAGAATAAGTGGAAATTACTTAAACCTTCTGACTTCTCTAAATGCCATTCTTAAGTACTCAACACTCTCCAGGCATAGACACTTCAGATATATGGACACCATGGGATAGCAGGATACAGCTATGTAAAATTTACATCCAGTTGGAGATGCAAATCAAACTCATCTATGCAGAAACTTTTTCTGAGACAAAATGAGTCTTTAACAGTGAGTTGGTTTAACCTCTTCTCATTATCCAGGCTGAGTGAAACAGAGACATCCATCCCCAGCACTGCCTGGCTCTTGTGCTGTCCATGAAGCAGCAATGGCTCCCCCGTACGAGGCAGGCAGCCAGAGGGAAAAGCACCATATCCACAGCCCTTCCTGATGACATTTTCAGGTCACAGCCACAAAAGTTAAAACACTGATCAGAAAATAGGAAGTCCACAAAATCACTCTCCAGGCTTTTTAGTGGGTTTGTTAAATTGCTAATGTAGCTTTAACAATTAGTAGAGTCGGTTGTGCTAATGCAGGGATTAAGTGGATCTCCCAGAATTTCCCCAGGAAAACACCAGCTGAATCACAACCCAGCATACAAGTTTCTGGCACGTTCCCCTGTCTTAAAGGCCAGGCTGTATATATGAGAAATACTTCAGAGAAGTATATGCAAATGTTATGACACTGTATCTCACAAGCACCTACTGTGAAAAAGTTAATCCTACTTTGAGCAAACCTGTAAGAAGTAGGGTATGAGTTTGTCCTTGTTCCTCAGGCCCTGACTGCAAACAATGCCCCGGGACCAAGGCAGCAGCCTCTGTGTTTGCATATCCTACATGGCATCAGGAGTAAGCAGCAAGTACAGGCACAGCTTTGCACCAGTCTGTCTGTTGGCACTGGGGGTGCTCTGGCAGTCGCTGAGTGCCCTGGCAATGAGGGAATGCTCATGTGCCCTCAGCCCCTGTTCCCGAGCTGCTGCAACATGCAAAAGGCAGGGCCGTCCCTCCGCCCCCCGACGGTAGCACTTTTTAATATCCACTGTATTCTACATGGAAGTGAGTTGTAGAGATGCTTCCTTTTTATGTTTAAATGGAGAAACCACTTGAAAGTCCATTAAATTTTTAATTAAATAAAACTTAATTTTTTTTTTTTTAAGAATGAGGCCAGTCATGGACAAAGCTATTTTACGACCTCCTTCAACACTGAACTCAAAGTAGGGTTTGTAAACGTGGTGGGTGGGAAGAGACAAATCCAATATAAGGATGCTAACTATTTGAGATTTGAAATTCTAATTATTTTTTAATCTACTCATCTTGCTCTCCCCCTCTCCCAACACAAAGCATCACATGAACCCTTCAGTAGAAATTTTTCTTCCTTTTCTTGTATTAAACTCCTGTGACTTCAGGAAAGTCCAAGTTGCCCATTCATTTTAATTTTTCAATTCTCCATAGATTTCTTTCTTTGCAAATACCTATAAATTATAAGCTAAAGTTTTATTTTTGCAGAAAGTCTGCTATTAAGCTATGTTGATTTTTTTTGTCCTGATCAAATAGTGTTAATTTCTACTACCACATTGTACATGGCTAGGAGTAGTGTAAAAAAAAATGTGGTAGTATTTTATGTGCTTTAAACACTGATAAAGATATAAAGAGAAATGCATATACAAAGTTTTACTTTCCTAATAGGAACACTGGCATTAGCAAATAGTATATTTGAACCAATAGGAAATATTACTTTGTAGTAGAAAACACATTGTAAATAAAAACTTGTTATTTTTTTAATGGAAATTTTATAGAAGCTTTTTCTGTATACTCAATTGATCCCATGTTTACTGAAAATGCTGCAAGTGGGAATTGTACATTGCAAAATGGGGGTGGGGAGCAGACAGTCTGACTGAGGTGAAAGTTGTGTGTGCTTTGGAGAAAAACATCCAGTTGTCTGTGAACAGAAATGTAAAGCTTAACTGTAGAAGAACCGAATAAAAGACTTTCAAGGCAACAGGATTGGGCTTGCTTTTGAGAAAAACACTGCAGAAAAAGGTTGCACAAGGTTAATGCTGACAGTATGTACCTTATAAAAAAAAAAAACCTACCCTATTTCACATAGGAAATATTGCATGCTTTGGTTTTGAAATAAGTATCAAAATCTAGCAGTTGCATCCTCAATAGGTTCATTATCCAGACTTTGGAAATTGTTCCATTTTGATAACTCACAAAATTCTTAGGGATATTATTGTCCCTGTCTATTCAAGATAAGCACCCAGTCTAAGAGTATTCTAAGTACCTCAGAAACAGCTCAGCAGTTTCCATGTCCAGCTGAAGGCACATTTCACACAGGCTTCGCTCTTCCTATGGAACAGTGTTTCCTCAGCATGCTGTACTCCAGTCCTCTGTGTGCTCCCCATGCCTCAGGCCAAATCCTGTGAACACCCTTCAAACACCTATAGACTGAACTTACATCCTTCTAAACCCTTTCCTCATATTTTGTTAACAAGAATCCAAATCAGACTAATTTAAGTAGCATTAAATACAGTTCCTCTTCATCCTCTGTGTTGGTTTTCCAACTCTGCTGAACATGAACACACCGAGTAATGTCACAGTGCTTGTTTTTCCCCGTGTGCACAGAAGACCCACGACTCACTATTCTTAAACTCAAACCAGCTGAAAGTAAAGGTTAAAGACAATAGCAGAAGACTTGCAAAACCATGAGTTCATTCTTCTGTAATAAACAGAAACTATCACAGGCCCCTTTCACTGAAATGCATTGGTATATTTGGGAAGGCATTTTCATTAACAGATTTGGCAAATAACTAGCTAAAAACTCCTGCAATGTCTTTTTCATAGGAAAGAAACTGAAGAGATGAGAGGATACAATCTTTATCTCAGCAATTGAGATATTTATGACTTATTTATGCTTATTAAAAAAAAAAGTTTAAGAATCTGTACCTTCTTTTGTGTCAGCACTGCATAAGTTGCTACCAGAATGATTCTGAAACATTAAACTGATGGTGAAGCTGCTTGGAATATTCTCCTTTAAAGAACCTAAAAGGAGAGGTTTTTGTGGTAAGCTACATTATTTCTTTGTGCTTTGTTTTCACCTGGGGATCTCCTCCCCAAGAACCCAACACAGCAACTGAGAGAATATTGAGAGCATAAAAGCTCTTTTCATCTTTCTTCTTCTAAGGAAGAAGTACTCGGCATGGATCCCTAAGAATGGAGAAGTCTGCAAATAACACTCTCTGAAATTACAAATGCTTTTGGTTAGAATTTGTTTGACTGTCCAACCAGACAGCATCATACACACTGGTTTATGCTTTTCTTCACATCAATAAATCTATGTTTCCTAAGTGATGGCAACTGCTGCAGCATCAAGTGCTATTCTGTGCTACAACAAGTATTTTTCCTGGTTAAAAATAACACTCTTTAAAATTGTATCTTGCTGAATTCCACACATTCTGTTATAAAGCAAAAATATCTCAAAATATTCAGGGAAACCAGCCCCCCCCCCAAATTGTGTAGGTTTATTATTCATTAAACTTTGTCTCAACCCCAAGTGTAGGATAGGAGATCGATGTGAACAATACTTCACTGTCACAGTGCCCTGTCACGAGTGCTGTCCCTGGCTCCCTGTGATCCGTGTAGGTTGCTCCTGAACGCAGCTCAGCTCCAGCACCGTCCTTCGCCTGCCTGGGAGGGACCTGGCTCTGCTCTGGGGGTCCTGCCTAACACCAAACCCCGTTCTGCTGCTCTGACTGTAAACCATTGAACAGGCTGAAAAACCTCGTGTCCGTGGGACTGTCCCCATGCTGAAACCACTGTTCAGGGGTAACAAAACAGAAGAAACTTTCCTATACATTTCACAGAACTCCTCCTCTGTCACAATGGCTAGAACAAGTCTGTCAGACTAAAAAACCCCATATGTTGTTGAAGGGTTTGCATTGCTGCCTGCTGGGTCCTAAGCTGCCCCCGGATAACCCACTGCAGGCTTGGTTTTGTAACGTTTCAAGAATCCCTCAGCAGCCACTGAGAGAACTCACAGACCCATTAAAAAACTGAAAACCATTGTCCCAGGCAGAGCTGAGCAGGAAGTGATATAAAAGCCTGCAACAATGAGATGACAACAAAAGGGAGAAGTAGGCAAACAGAAGGGTGTGTGTTCTTCAGCATAAGGCAGCAAACAGAAATAAACAATGACAAAATTATCTAAGCACCATTTTGCAAGACATGAAACCACGCAACCAATATCCTCCTTTGGTTCAAGTGACCATTGCTAACCCAAGTTTTCATCATCTTGACATTAAAGTTCACATTATGCAGCAATGACAACATACAAATATTAGATTTAACTAATCTATCACCATTATCTGAACAATAGTTTTCAAATATTAAATAACAGAAATTCCATTTAACACCATTGTTAAAGCAGCAGACTGCATTTTTACAGCAGCTGCTGGCACAAGTAAGATAGTTATTTTTAATAAATAAGCACCACAAGGACATAAATGTCTTGGCACATTCAGCAGTTAAAAACCATTTCAAACGAGTAAAGCCCACGACAATGTCCTAGCATTGACCTGTGCACAATTCCTGCCTCCGGCTTTGCAGAGTGTGATTCAAAGAGCACGCAGAGCTCTCAGGGCAGGCCCAGGCTGAGGGCACGGACCACGACAAGTCCCTGCAAGGTACGGCAGGGTGTGAACGCCCCAGCCAGCCCAGCTCACCCACGGCGGGGTGAAAGGCAACTCACAGCCCCAGAGCAGAGGCACGGCGGCCGCCGCTGTCCCGCCGGTGGCAGGGCGGTTTTCGCTCCCGTTTCCCAGCAGGCAGGGTCTCCTCCTGCGCCCTCACCCGCGCAGGTTCCGAGCGCCTTCCCCGCCCGGCCCCACGGACCCTGCGGGCCGAGCCCAGGCGGCACCGCCGGGCCCTGCACCGCCCTCACACCCTCGCTGAGGCGCCGGCCCGACGAGGGCGGCGGTGGGAGCCCCAGTCCCTGTCCCCGTCCCTGTCCCTCCCGCCGTACCCGCGCTCCGCCCGCCCGTGAGGGGCCCGCGCGCGCCCCTCACCCGGTACCGGCCGCAGGGGCGGCTCCGGCCAAAGGAAATGGGGCATAGAACCCTCCTCCAAGGGGCCTGAACAGACTGAGAACTTGGAGGCATACAGCAGCTAAATCCACCTTTCTATAAGCACTCCTGATTTTTGAGGAGTTTGGAATTAGAGCTTGACGGGAAACACCCCTTCACGCAAGGGAACCTCTGAGCACCAGTCCCTGGTGCTGCAGCAAGAGACCCCAGTGCCAGAGCCCCAGCTGGTCTGGAGATGGCTCAGGGGGCTCAGATGAACCCTCCTCTCCCGAGGATCCCCTCCTGCTCCCTCCTGCACACAGAGGCACAGCCACCCTCGGGAGCTGGGCCTGGCTGCCATGACCCACTCTCACAAGGCACATTGCAAACCCTCCATCAGAATTTAGGACTTTTATAGGAAATTCCAGAGCCTGAAGCATCTGTAGGTCATCGCTGTCCAGCTTTTAAAATTGAGAGCCTAGTTTTATTTAAAAATAATTAAGAAAAAAAGTGGCCAGTGACCAACAGTTTCTCATAGATGCTTCAACCAATTCTTCTTTTAAAGCCCTCCACAGCAGTGCCAGGGACTTGTCCAACTATTAGACTTTTTATGGACTCTCTGACTAGATTGACGGAGCCACTGCCTTAAAAAAAGTGACCTCTTACCAAAAGATTGTTACTTCAAAATTCTGAACATATGATCACTAATACAGAGTAATCATGAAGAAAACATTAATATGAAGTGTGTGAAATCTGTATGGTATTAATTGGGGAAAAGCAAAGAAGGTGAAAATCCTTAACTGTTCTTGGAGAGAAAAAAATACAAACAGCTCTAGAGAATCCGCAGACAAAACCTTCAAGACAGAAAAAGATGCAAAACACTTTTTTTAAAAAATTATCATCATCTTAACACAAAGATAACATTTCCACATTACCATAACAAAGTCATTAAGTATTATTAATACTAAATTAACCAAATTGTAGAAGCAGCTGCTATACCTATTGCTAATAGGGTACGTTTGTGTGAGATGTAAATTAATGCAGCTGCTGGCTGTTTGCAGTCAGGCTGGCCAGGCTGATGTAAGCCCGGGGAAAGCCCAGGATTTTTATTGTTATTACTTTCAAGTCTTCTCACCTTTGATATTTTCTCATCATCTCATTAGCATGACTAAAGCCAAGTTCTAAACATTCTATCCAGGCTTACAAACTTTTATTTCATGTTCTGCCAAGCTCCTACCTACCGTTTTCTGTCAGCAGGCACTATATTAAGACTATTAAATTAAGATTGAATGTGATAGAGTTGTTCTGTCTGGGGTCCATTGCCAAATGACTGAGTCAACTATATCAGAGCACTTATCAGACCAATATTTGTTGGCCTTTGAGCAGCAAAATGAGGAGCAGAAGCTTTTGCACTGGCCAAGACCTGATGAGGTTTGTACATTAACTGAAGACCCTTCCAGCCCATCTAACTGTGCAACTGTGTGTTCCTGACATGGCTGGTACTGAGCCATCTACTTATCTGTAGGAAATGGGTGATTGGCACCATGACAGATGGGTATATATACCACTGGAGATGCAACAATTCCAGGAAATAAAGCAGCCCTGGCTGCTGAAGATTTTTCAGAAATAACTGCACAGTTCAAAGAATTCTTGCCAGACATTAATTAATTAACGAGTACCCCTATTTCAAACTTTTGGAAAAATACATCCACCAAGCAGTACGTTTTCTGACTAATAAACTGTTCATAAGTAAAAAAAAATACACTGCACTAAAAGATAATTAAAAAATATAATAACAATTTAAAAAGATAATTGCAGCTAAAATGTACTCCACTCTGATTACTAATTAAATAATCCCTTCCCAAGTGGGAGTTTTCTATTCAGCTAGTTAAACTCGCGTTAGAAAAAGCTGATATGAAAATACCAGTAGCAAGAAAAAAAAGAATACAAGAGACTGCCCTTACCAGTGTTCAGACTCCTAAAAGATAAAAAACCTGAAAATGTAGTGAAGTACAAGGGCATAGAACGGAGTGGGCCAACAGACATTCCTAACCAAGCGAGTCTGGCTCCATGGGCACAGGAGGCACATCCAGCAGAACAAGCAGGCACACAGAAGGTGATACTAAGTACTTCCAGAATTAATTTTCCTTCCCATTTACACGTTTTTGTAACTCTGTAAAGAGGGTAAAATACTGCATGAATTGAATACCTGGGAATGTGCTGAAGTTATGAAACAGTCCCACAAAAGAGGGAAAATGCCAGTACTGTGTCCTGCTCAGTGCTCCCCGGGCACGTTGGTGTTAAACTGAACAGCAGTGGCCGCTCCTGCCTGCAGAAACTGCAGAGACTTGTGCACTTACCCCCACAAACGCCCACTGGCCATTACTAATCACCAGCAACCATTCAGTCAGAGGAAGAGCTATTACAGATTAACTCTACACGACTTTCAGAGTACCGTGTCTGTTTGCTCTCAAGAAGAGCTCGGTAAGTAGGGAAACACAGAGTGCATCCCTCGCAAAGGAGTTTGGAGTCGTGCGCCTGAGCTCCCTGCAGACAAGAACAATGTGAAACCCCTGACAAGCCAGGCAGGCAGCTCTGGCTCAGCAGATAGCAGGGACATGAACTGAAGGGGCAAAGACATCTCACAATTCCACAGCCATTCATGTCCTAGGGAGATTTCGGAGAGCTCTCTTGTCATGTTTTAAGCCGTGGCTGCATTTCTGTTTGTCAGAGTGCATTTGCTAGTTGCACTGCTGAGTTGTTATATGCAAGTCAGCCTACAGCAGTTTCCAGTAATGGCATCTTATGCAACTTCTGACCTACTTTAACACATTGGAGCACTTGGAAACACGAGATCCACTGCAGCAGCT